ATTTATTCTCCATCAACTCATACAATCATATGTCTGTCACATCACCTTTTCCTAGTCATCTAGCTTTTCTATGAATCATATTTATTTTATTTTCATGAAGAATCTTTTCTAAATGTCAAATCTTGATTGCTACTATGTTTTTCCTTTAGGCACTTCAAAAATATTCTTTTTACTGCCTTCTGTCTTGCATAATTTCTGATAAGAATTCCACAGGCATTTAATAAGCTATCGCTGTCTTCTGGTTGACTAAGTGTTTTCCTTCATCTATAGTTTGTAAGGGGTCTCCATGAGCCTGGGTATGGGTTTCACTGAGTTTCTCCTGCTGAGGTTTGCTAAGCTGTTTTAGTTTGTAGATTGTCTTTCACCACATTTGGAAAATTGAGCCATACTTATTTTCTGTGCCATACATACTCCACCCTCCCATTTTGGATCTCTGATGACATTAATGCTAGACCATCTCATAGGTCACATAACAAAAGCAGCAGCAGTAACAAAACAAAACTTTCTACTCTACATTTTTGACTTTGAGAAAACTCTGTTGATAAGTCTTCAGGTTCACTTACAATGGGCCTCCTGGGTGACCTATGCACAGTGGCTCCCAGGGCCACGGTCTTGCTCTCACTGAGCACATTACTTCTATTACTTTTATTCAGGATCCATTGAAGATAGTTGTCACTTCTGGGTTTCTGCACCCCTATGCATCCTTTGACTTGTGGACATGCATTGACCCAAACACCCATCCTCTCTTGGCTGCACTTGTGACCAGCTGGCAAGAACAGGCATTAGGAAGTGGTGAACCAAAGGAGAACTCAGGGGGAACAGGCATTTAGGGCCAATGTTGGCTGTAGAAATAGAGCCCCATGGTTTTGGGCTACTTGACATAGGGGCTCAGCAGTGGCACACTGCCTCAAACTCAAAAAAGGGGATTGCCCTTAGGGGCATTTACTGTGCTCTTAAAGCTTATATAAGTACAGTTTCTAACTGTAGAGGCCCTCCATTTGTTTTTTCTTTTTCTTTTTTGGCAAGTTATCCATTTATGCCCACTAAGAGGAAGGGCAGGAAAAAATTGCCAGTCCCAGCCCTACAGAGATGCCAGGGCTTAAAGGTGCAAGCATCCTCCCATACTGACTGACCTGAGGGTTTCTTTTCATTTGTGTGAAAAGTCAAGGTCCCTAGAACCCAAAAAGAAGAGCAATTCCACATGGGTGCACTTGGATTTGACTTAAGTAGTAGTCTGGTTACTACTAAACCATGTGCTCACACTCCATGCCCTCATTTGGGCTATAGAGACTGCATGGCATGTAAAGTTCCCAGCCTCTGCTGCTGGCAGTCCCACCCCTGCCCACTGACATGGGACTGACACATCTCACTGCAAACAGAAATATGGAGATTCCTGGAGTCTTGTGGTCTTGGAGTCTTGGGTCTTCAACAACTGCCACCCAGAGGGATTGCTTTGCAATCAGCCCAAAGTGTTTGAGTCCCATTGTGCACTAGCTCAAGGGGCTCGAGTCTCTACTGAAGGCAAGTCCAGGCCTTGGAAAGGATGGCTGCTGAGCTTCTGTCCTTCCCCTGAGTCCTCCCCACTTTTTTCCTCCCCACTTTTTTTTCTCCCTCCTGCTATTTTTAAACCTGTTTTTCCTTTTAAATAAATCATTGGAACATCAATATACAATTTGAAAAACAGAAATTTATTAAGAACCATCTCTGCATAAGGGCAGGGCAGGGGGCAGTGTCTTGAGGAGAAAGTCTCTGATGTCGCTGGCAAGTGGGGGATAGAAGAGATCTGGATGCGCTCCTGGCTGGAATCCGCATGGAGAAGCCTGAGCCAGGGGGCACACCTCACTTCTGAAAGCTGTCGAAGTCCGTTTCCTGACCAAGGCCGGTGGCGCGATGTTGGGATGCTCAGAGCTCTGGGCCTCTGGCTGTCCATTGGTCTGTCTCACCTGGGCATATCTTCTTGAGCCACTCTGTTGCGGAACCTAGGGCGTCTGCGACCTGGGTTCACTGGAGCCTCGCTTTGGCGGAAGCACGGCATGCAGCAGCACAATTTTTGAAGGGAGTTGACAATCCTCCTAGTGACCCCCCTCCAGCCCCTGTTTCTCTGATGGGCTTGCCCTGCGAAGGCTGTGCTCTCACCTTCTACTCCCCTACGAGGGATGGGCCGAAGGTACACACGCCATTGGGTCGCAGGTTTCTTCTCGGGGGGTCGGCTGGAAAGGGGTGTCTTCATGTGGAGAGGAAGGACAGGTGCGCTGGCACATGCAGGCTTCTGCTTTGATAGCTCGGCCTCCTCATGCTGCTGCTCACAGGGCAAGGCCAGGGCGGGCTCACTATTGCATTTGTTGGGGCGGACCAGGGGAGGATCCGCAGTGGGGCCTGGGGAAGACCCACGACCACGAGGACGCACAGGCTTCGCCTGGAGCACGCAGTCTGGCTTCTGGCTTTTCTGGTGCTGGAGGAGAAGGTAGGTACCCATGGCCCCATCGAATTGGCGATTGGCCAGGGACAACCAGACTTTATAAGGGTTATAACCCATGTCGAGCATGATGGTCAGAATGTCTGGGTCAGGCCGCTTGGGGAGTGGCTGGCTGGGAAGCCTGGGGAAGGAGTGCTCATCCTGGGTGAGCCATGGGTGCCTCAGAATCTGCTCTAGAGTGGGCCTTTGTTTGGGGTCCAGCGTTAGGATTTGCTGGATGAGGTCGCTGGCTTCCTCAGACACGTGCTGGGGAATGCTGTAGTTTGCCTCCAAGATGCGCTTCTTCAGCCCCTCAGTAGTGCTCATCTTAAATGGCCTTGACCCTGAAAGCATAAAATACAAGGAGACACCCAAGCTCCAGACGTCAGCAGGGGGTCCCTCGAATCTCTTACCCTGAACCATTTCAGGAGCGCTGTACAGGAGAGTGCCCCTGAACCCAGACAGCTTCTGCCCAGGTGTGAAGCTCATGCTCAGACCAAAGTCAATAAGCTTCATGTGACCCTTGTCATCCAGCACGAAGTTCTCAGGCTTCAGGTCCAGGTGTGCAACCCCTTTCTCATGGCAGTAATGCACGACATGCACCATCTCCCTGAACACTCTGCGAACCTTGTCCTCTGGTATGCCACCGATGTGCGGGATGTAACGTCGCAGCTGTCCCCCACTTGCGTGCTCCATGATGAGGTACATATTTTGGTCCGTCTCGATGACCTGGAAGAGCTGGATTATATATGGGTGTTCCAGGTCCATCAACCAATTCCGCTCACATAGCACTGCTTCTTTCTCCTCTGTCTTGGACAAGACTTTCACTGCCACTTCTAACCCGGTCAGGCGATGGCGGGCTAGTACCACCTGCCCGAAGCTCCCCTCCCCAATGTTCTTCAGGACACGATAATGGTCCGTGAAGGCCTTCTCGTAGCAGGAGCTGGGCTCCTGAGCCTCTACACTACTCTCACTACTCTGTCTATGCATCCTAAACCGGAACACCAACTAGGGATGCTAGCTAAAAAAAAAAAAAAAAAAAAAAAAAAAAAAAAAAAAAAAAAAAAAAAAAAAAAAGGAAAATACCAAAACCAACAACCAATAAGCGAAACACCAAACAAAAATCCCAAATCAAAAAATCAAAAAACCAACAGTAAACCACCACAAATACCAAATACCAACCACCAACCACCAAACGCACTAGCTATCTGGGAGTCCGACAGGTCACTACCAAGAGCTTCCTGTACTTGTGGACAAAAATCCACCCAAGGCCACTCTCTTATATAGCAGGAGTTTGAGATTACCTCACAGGGGATCCTTGTGATGTCACAGCAAGAAATGACCCAGCCATGCTTGGGCATAGCCCCTAGGAGTCATCTCAATTTGGGGCCTCCAGGACCTTTTTGACTTTGAAAAGAAGAAAGGATACCAGAAGCTTTTTGTTTCTGTGGGTCATGCAGACTGATATTTATTGATATTTAGAGATGAAAACTGGTAGGATACTTCAATGGTCTTTTCATTTGGAGTCTGAAAATCCATACTAACTTTCAACTCTTAAAGACCTCATCATATGTACACTCAAAAGTATTCCATTCCCCTTTCTTCCAACCCACAATGATTGAGCCCAAGGGATGGTAGCACTTCATTCACATCGGGAGGCTATAACAACGCTCTGCTCCCTAAGATGCTCTAGAGCTGGGCATTAAGGGGTTGAGAGGGAGGGAGAGTTCATCATCATTTCCCAACAAGGTTCTCATCAGATTTCCTGATAGAAACCTTAGGGAATGCAAAAGGCAGTGGGTTGATATGTTCAAAGTGATGAGGGGTCAAATACGGAAGTAAACAATCCTAGAACCAGCAAAAGTGTCCTTCCCACTAGGGGAAGAAATGGAGGGGTTCCAACACACCTGGGTCCCTATCTGCTACTGTTAATTAAAACCCCTTAGACTGGGTAATCTATTAACAATAGAAATCCACTTCCCACTGTTCTGGAGACTGGCAAGTCCAAGGTCAAAGTGTCTTGTTGCTATATCCTTCCATGATGGGAGGGACAGAAGTGTTGACCACATTCTCTCAAACCCTGCATTTTGTTTTGGTTTGTGTTTTGTGATCTTTGGACATACTGACCATTGAATCCAGGGCCTTGGGTATGTCAGTAAAGTGCTTTACAACTTAAGTATTTCCATAGCCCCCCCAAATTTCTTTTTTGTTGTTGTTGATTTTTGGTGTGTGTGTGTGTGTGTGTGTGTATGTGTGTGTGTATGTCCGTGTGTTTGTAAGAGAGTGCCTTGTTAAGTTGCTCAGGTTGGGCTTCAATGTGTGATCCTTCTGCCTTGGTGTCCAAGGTGAGATTACAGCAGCCTACTGTGGTTCCTATGTGAGGTGTCCTTCTCACAGGCTCCTGTACTAATGTAGGGTTATTCAGAAGAGAAATGGTGGGATTGGGAAAACTGTAACCTTATCAGCCCATCCTACATCGAATGGATGGACCGTTGGATTACTGTAGTAGGGGGTCCCTGGCTGGAGGAGGTGGGTCACTGGGGTCATGCCCCACCTGACTGTTTTTGAAGGGTGACTCTGTGACCCTTGCTCCATCCTATTTCTGTCTCTGCCTCTGCCTCTGCCTCTACCTCTTTGCTGCCCTTAGGTGAGCAGTTTTCCTCTGCTGGGCCCTTCCCCCATGATGGGCTGCCTCGCTTTAGGCCCAGAGCAATTGAGTTGGCCATCTGTGGTCTGAGTCTTCTGAACCTGTGATCCCCAGGTAAATATTTTCTCCTCTAAGTTGTTCTTATCAGGTATCAAGGCCACAGTGATGGAAAAACTCATTAAAACACTGCCATACACTTGGACACTGTGTCACACGCCTATAATCCCAGAGGCTCAGGAGGCTGAGGCAGGAGGATTGCCAATTCAGATCCATCCTTGGCAACTTAATGAGGCACTTAGTTTTCTTTCACTTTAAAATCAAAAAAGTGGAAACTGTCTAAACTTACTCGAAGGATGTGGAAACTATTTCTTCAAAGACCTAAATTTCCTGCACCTGAATTTTAAATAAAATCCACCCACACAGGAGAACGGAAAGGTATGGAGGGGAGGTGTGGAGATGTTAAAGAACTTGTTTTCAGGTTGGCTAAAAAGTTCTTCACCAACCAGGCTTGGTGGAATATGCCTGTAATCCCAGCAACTCAAAGAGTCTGAGGCAGGAGGATCGTGAATTCAAAGCCAACCTTAGCAATGGTGAGATGCTGAGCAACTCAGTGAGATCCTGTCGCTAAATAAAATGCAAAATAGGGATGTGGATGTGGCTCAGTAGTCGAGCACCCCTGAGTTCAAGCCCTGGTACTAAAAAAAAATTTAAAAATTCCGCAGCATAGCCACTCTCCCTACTCACATCACTAGTTCTTCTAAACCATGAATGTTTGCCTTGACCATTGAAGGAGTTAGAGCAAACCCTTTTTCTACAAGAGCTAGGTTATTCTTTAATATATTAGATTAATAACATATATAGACTGCAAATAATTACATGCTATGATTTGGATCTGGAATGTTACTCAAAGGTTTGTGTGTAAAAGTTTGGTTTTCAGTCCATGGAGCTATGAGAGGTAGTGGAACATTTAGGGGGTGGGACCTACTTGGAAGAGAGTTTAATTATTGCAGATATGTGCCTAAAGGAGACATTGAGACTCCAGGCCCTTCCTGTATTTTTAATTGCTGACTTCATGGGGTACTATGAAGTCATCCCATGATGTACTACCTCATTATAGGCCCAGAAGCAATGAAGCCTAGTGACTATGGATGAAAACTTCAGAAACTGTAAGCCAAAATAATTCTTTCCTTCTTATAAGTTATTTCTCTCTGATATTTTGTCACAGTCACAGAAAGCTGACTAACACATAGAGAAATCTCTTATTACATGCTTTGGAAATCACTCATCCAAATGAACACCATGCTCAACAAAATATTAAAGGTCTTGAGGAAGAAACTATAGGTACCATTACAAATATGTTATTTTTCTAATTCATGAAAACTCATTGTTTTTTTCAAAAAAGTTTTTAGGGAAGCGACCATGCAACATATCTTCTTTGCTTACAGTGATGAGGACCAACAGAGCTGCTTTAAAGTCACACATTTCTTTTCTTTTTACCAAGCCTTTTTTGCCTGCCCCCAGAATAAATGTCAATAGATGCAGAATGTTTCTATTGATTGATTAAAGATGCCAACTGCCAGATAATTTACACAATGCAAAACACCAAAACAAAACAAAACAAAAAACAAAAAAAAAACAGTGCTTTCATGGTACAAAGACTTATTGCCAAGAATACGATTGCTCCCTCACATCTGTTATGGAATTTTTTACAGAAAAGAAGAAAAGCCTTTTTACCTGGAGTAGAGCTAATGGACAACTTAAGAGAGTTATAATTGGAACATTCATAACTTTTTTCTATTAATATTAGGCTACAACTTATTTAGTAATCCTTTACTATTTGAGACACCTGGTGAAGATTTTATTTCAATGAAAGAATAATTTGAGGTCTGAATAATTTTAAATCACGCCTAGAAAATCTCCCTTAGTTACATCATGTACCTTGAACATTTTGACTATATTGATGTATATGAACAAATGGAGAATTGAAGTAATTCACCTTAAAATTCAAGAAAATAGAAAGCAAAATATCTTCACATCCATCATAGAAATGCAGATGGCTTGTTCGATGCTGGTTGGTACATTTGTTTTGTGTTTTACTGGGCTCCTTGATTTGGAGAAATGCCTTGAGTCGCCACTTGATGTGCCTCAACAGATAATTAGTTCATAAGCTTTTATAAAAAAGCACCTACTCTGTGTCAGATTTGAAGTTGTGTACATAAGGATCCTGCTTAACTTTCACATTTGCAAAGGTGCCAAACAACTACATTTGAGCAAGAAGTAAGTGTGCATTAATAAAACACCAGTGGTAGCACTCACCAAGTTTATTAAATTTCAAGAACAATGCTTACACACAATCACCCTTGTTCCAATCCCACAAGTTTTAAAGGAAGAGGGTCACAAGGTGGGGTTTGTTTCCGCGTGGAAACGGTGAAGCACGCTCCCTGTGAACTGAACTGCTCTGCCAGTTTGGTGTTGACAGACTTCTGATGGGAACTCTTGGAAGCATCTCTGAGGAGCAAGTAGCTTATCACAACCCCTTCAGCAAGCAGCCCGACCTGGCACAGAGATACAGAAAGTTCTTTCTCACCCTCCAAGATCTTAGGGAGCCCATGGGGCTTCTTCCAAAGTTTCATTTCTCCCTCAGTCTCAGAGGGAACTCAGCATCAAGGGTAGAAACAGGAAGATCCACAGGATGGTCTGAATGAGGAGATGCGTGCCAGGTTCAGGGTGTGCTTCAGCTAGCCTCTCTCCATGGGATAGAAATGCCAATGATCAATGACAAAGGGGCACGGACCCCTGAGCCCTATTGTGAGGAACAGTCCTGCAGGAACAGGAGCAGCCTTGGAGTTTACAGTGTTTCAACACTAGCCCATATTTTCTTGGAGTCTCACGACTTCGGACATAATCTGTACCAAAGTAAATTATAAAAGCAATTCAAGCTGACTACCAGTTTAAAAGGGTGGAAAAAAAAAGGAAAAGAAAAAAAAAAACAGGCCTGGAGAGGGGGCACAGCTCTCCATCAGGTCACTGAGTGCATTCATTATTTGTCCCCATTACCATGTTATGTCTTAATTACTCTGGTCTGGCTTCCCACCCGGGGTCACTATGTCACAGCTGGTTTTCTGCCCATCCCTAATTAATAAAGCCTCATTTAGTATCCAAGTTTATTGTAATAAACCTCTGCTCAGGGATATGGCAGGAATAAAAGAGACAAAAAAAAAAAAAAGAAAAAAATTATCAGTGTTGTTCTCACAGTAACCTAGCACCATAAAGGGCCTTAGTTCAGGCTTTCCCTGGGTTGCTCTTAACCTGGAAAAGGACTTCC